TTTTGTATGTCTTTAGTTTGATGTTGGCTCGAATTCTACATTATACATATAGCAGTCTGTCTGCTAGACATTTTTGCATTATAAATATCAACATTGTTTTCCTCAGTATTGTATTTAGTATCGACAAACTGGTCAAGTTCTCAGATTGGGATTCAGGTTATTTTGTTTTCTCATTCTCGTTCTGGTTGTATACTAGCATTCTCAGTATGAAGCTTTTCTTGGTTTGAAGGCAATATGTTCATAGACCATAGTTAATATGATTAGTTTTCTTGGATGAAAAATCTTTGATTTTCTTGTTTCCTCTTTAGTCTGCTATTTAATCTTTTTTCACCATTTTTTTTGTTAAAGTGGAACGATAACATCAAGCATATGGCCTGCATATAATATCATTAGGATTTTCTGTTGGTTGTAATAGCTGAGAAAGGAAGAGAAAATTTGAGTAGTTTATTAGTATATTTTGTATTGATTATGGTCTTTTAGTTTCTTAGTGGACAAGTGGAGAGTTTTGTAGTAAGCCTTCTCCGTTGCTGCTATACATGAATTGCACTTATTTAGTTGGATGGTTGAGCTGGCTAATTATTTGTATCTGACAAATTAGAGCAAAATGTGCATTAGGATAATGATATCATTTATATCTTTCTTAAAAGTTTTCAGCTTCAAGTACAAGAATGTTTTATTCATATGTTAAGATTCAAATTTCTCCATGATAAGTGGACATCGAATAAAGTATATGAATGCAAGAATTCTTTCTTGAAACTCTGCAGTTTCTTCTATTGTTAACTAGAACATGATAGATTGTTCCAGTCTCTCTCTCTCTCTCTCTCTCTCTCTCTCTCTCTCTCTCTCTCTCTCTCTCTCTCTCACATATGGATGCATTTCTGGCATCTCGAATTCACTTGCTTGATTTACTGCTTTCCATAAAGCACTTATGTATATTATCTAAATAGGTTAATCATTTATCGGCAAAAGCAGCTGTTGGTGAATTGAGTGCGAAAAGACTGTAAGCCAAGCCGTGTTACGATCTGACTTTACTTGCTGACACTATTAGCCTGGATATAATGGAGGCAAACCACACATCCCCTGTTCTCACTGACCCGTCTCCTATGAACAACACAAGATTAGGAATTCACTCTGCCATGCTACCTTACTCTCACAATGGCTCCTCATTTTCTCCCCCACTGTTCCTTACTATACCAAGGAGAAAGAATGGAATACTTGATGACATACGTTGCTCCATGTTTGATGCCATGAAATCGTCATCTCCAACTCATAATAATCTACCAAATGAGACCAATACAGAGTCGACTCTAAATGACGACGATATAGCTTACCGCAACTGGCTGGTATCATTTCATTGTGTTTGTTTTCCTCCTTTTTTTTCTTCTTCTTCTTTTAAAAGCTGTTTTTTTATTTTGTGGTTGGCTCTTGCAGTTCAAGTATCCATCGGCACTTGGGTCTTTCGAGCAAATAGCAAACAATGCAAAGGGAAAGAGGATAGCGTTATTCTTGGATTATGATGGGACTTTATCCCCGATAGTGGACAACCCTGATAATGCATTCATGTCTAGTGTGGTGAGTATCTGTCAATAAAACATATCTAACGACTTTTATTACTTCCATTTGAGTTGTTTCTGAAACTTTATGACTTCTGTTCAGATGCGTGCTGCTGTCAGCAATGTGGCTAAGTATTTCCCCACAGCTATAATTAGCGGAAGAAGCCGTGACAAGGTAATTTGATGGCTTTTATGTATTTTGTGATTTTTGTGCTTATTTTCTGAGAGTATGATATATTTGAGAATGAATTTTATTGTTTCATTCACATGTCATTTATTCAGGTATACGAGTTTGTAGGCCTAACTGAACTTTATTATGCTGGTAGTCATGGAATGGACATCATGGGTCCTGTTCGTCCCTCTAACAGTGACCATAAGAACTGTATTCGGTCCACTGACAAACAGGTATTTGTACTATGCATATATATTTATTATGAAATCTAATTATACTACTCGAAGCTACTTGTCAGAGATTGCATTTTTAATTTTACGTTTGTACTTATGGTGCATAGGGCAAGGAAGTCAACTTATTCCAGCCTGCTAGTGAATTCTTACCCATGATTGACGAGGTATGCTACTTCCTTGATCTGTTTAGTGATGACTCATAATTTCAGGAAATACATGCATTCATACAAAGACATTTTGGTGTTATTTTCGAGCCAGGTTTTTGAATCTCTCATCGAGATTACAAAAGATATAGCTGGTGCACAAGTCGAGAACAACAAGTTTTGTGTTTCCGTACACTATCGTAATGTGGATGAGAAGGTACTTTTTTTCTTGTTTGTTGGTTTTAGGAATAATCCCAATTAAGGGGTTCCATCTCATGATTTGACCACTAACTACAGCTGCATCATTGTTTTCGGGTTGGCTTTAAAAATTTACAGAGTTGGTCGTTAGTTGGTCAGTTGGTGGAGGAAATTCTGTCAAGGTATCCTCGTTTGCGGTTGACTCATGGTCGGAAGGTATTTCTTTAGAAAAAATTATACTTGTACTCGTTTTATATTTTTTTTACTTTATATGCGCATTTAATTTACTGAACTGGATTGAATTCAGGTTTTGGAAGTCCGACCAGTCCTGAACTGGCACAAGGGTAAAGCTGTCGAATTTCTACTTGAATCTCTTGGTGAGTGAAAAAACAAAATATATATTGAAAAAACAACACTGTTCTTAAAAAAAAAAAAAAAAAAAAAA